TGTAGACAGCCAAGCCCCCTCCTGTGTTCGGTGAAGCATTACATGCTTAAAAATCCAATGTAGGATATAAACACGACTAAACTGCAATGATAGCAAAGCTGTGGCTTGTGTTTTTGGGGTAATAAAGTCCAAATCATCGTTGGGCTGTCAGCCAATGAGTGACGTCTGAGGAAGATGAAACATGTAAATTAAACATTGTTGAGAAAATGCTGCATCTCTTGCATTTATTGACATAGAGGAGCCTTATTGTTTACCTTTTTAATATCATTTTTTGTCATTTTCAATTGCTTGGTTTTCGTGAAATTAGCCTGTTTTCCTATTAAAGTGTAACATCTCCACACATCATCTTAAAGGCTTCGGAATCCCCCCATTGTAGTTAAAACTGTAAAAACTAGGGCCCCCAAACAGCATCTTGCACAGGGCCCCCAAAAACCTAGAAACGGCCTGGGTAAATCATTTACTTTTTACTCCACTGAGCTGTAAAATGCATCGTCATGAAGCTGAAAACAGGGCTGTGGACATATGGCAAAGTACATGACATATGATGATCTTAAGGAATATGATGCATTGCTGTAGATTGATCTGTCCGGGATAGGTGTTGAATGCAGGACTTTCACTTCAGTAAAGGACCTAAATACTTCTTCCACCACTGCTGTCCAGTGATGCCTAACCTAACCTGTCTGTCTGCTGTCTGTCTCTCAGTGTATTTTGAGGACACTCTGCTGGCAGTGTGGCGTCACGGCTGGCAGAGGAGAGGACAGGGTTTCACTGAGGTGCTAGAGGAGACCACGGACCCCAGGAAGACCTACAGACTGGTGCAGTCAGACAGGTACAGCAGGACTTTACTCAGGGGTATGTTTGATTAGATTTGTAGTTCCTGCAGTGTGGGCTCCTTTGTTATTCTGTTGTATGGCCTTTTTTTGCTGCGCCTACTAATCAGCTGGGCTGCAGTTTATTACAAACAACTGAAAAATGTCACTTAACACAGCAGGTATAATGTGAATCATGCTCGCACTCCTAGATTAGCATGCTAACATTGCTAACTGCTGTTGGAGAAAGTAACAAAAAATATTTAACCTTAGATGTCATTTTGATAGTACTCGTGAGTATTTCCATTAATACGGCAATTCATTGCAGAGGCAAATATTGTGCTTTTAAACCTCTACATTTATGTACTGTATGTATAAGTCACTTTGCATACTCATAGCTGAGTAGAATTCATGCATAAAAAGAAAAAAAAGAAGAAAACAAATGTGTACAAAATGTCATGGGCATTCATTTAATATATATTTTAGTCTGGACAAAGTGATGGACTGACTGATATCTGAATATTAGGATGTAATCCAGATTTGCATCATGCACAGAAACATGTATGTGACTTTATCCTTTCATATAAAAAATAGGATTTTAAAGAGTTTATGCAGGTTTACACTAAATTCCTCTGACCTCCCTGACCTCCAAACCTGCAGGATGGTCGTCTTGGAGACGCGTCAGATCGATGACCAGACGGGGATGTCCAACCTGTACGTCCTGGAAATAGCGGAGAACTACGTCATGCTGCCCTGACTCTCCGTCTGCCGGCGAAGGGCATCATGGGAGACTCCAGATTATATGTGAATGTCTCCGCAGGACTCTGATCTGTCATCAGTGACTTTGATGAGCATGGATGTCACAGTGTTTTAATTTCTAATGAGAGGAGAGGAGAGAAGTCAGAAAGAAATGATAGCATGATGTTGCAAGGGTAAGCCAACCCTTACTTAGGCTGATTTCAATATGTGAGATACAGAATTGAGAAAGCTGAGGAAAATAAATGAACAGTGAAGGAAGGTCCTCCAACACTACAGAGGGAGTTCTACTTTCTTCTTCTGCTGCAGCCGCCTGCAGGGACTGAGATACACAGAGGAACTCACACAGGAATAAAGGACTGGAAGGGTTCATTATGTGATGTATAACCTGAGTTTGTGTGTCAGTGTTGGATCCATAAAACACACTTCTTACTGCCGTTACTTTGTAATAAAAATGAATTAACTTAAGATGAGGTGAACTGTACTGATCTCAGAGCAAAACGCAGAAAATAAGGTCCCATTAATGGCAAAGTGTTTATTCCCTTTGTAAGCTGAAAACAGATAACTGTTAGGGGCCGGTGACATCACAGGGTGGAGCGAATAGTCAAATTAACTATTTAATGGTACATAAAAGTGGCATATTTGATGATTTGTCAACCAAATTGAGTAATGAGAGGCATATTACGATTGTAATCAGCTTTGGAGAAACAAAATATATTTTGTTTTTTGGGAGGGCAAAATATTAACAAAATAAAGAATTTTGTTGTTAAATATTTAAACAAAATTAGATAACTTGGGAGGAATCACTTTCACTGCTTTGTTGTATCTCAGGAAGGGGTATCTTAAAAAAGGAAGAGCTTTCGGGGGTTTGTCACATCTGTGTTGCTTCCTATGTCAACCCACTTAATGTGTGTGCATGTGCTGCTAAGGGACAAAGAGGTAGTTTCAATTCTATTGTTTTGTTCCATAATAAATTAATAATAAATCATTTTCACACATTTTGAAAATGTAGCCTTCCGAAGACACAAAGGCTTTATGGGCTAGTGTGACTCACTAAATATATGTCCATGTTATGCCAGCCTTCTCTATAGCCTGAGCTGCTTCTACGCTGCCTTTTTTAAGTTGGTCCTGTTTGGTGCCACTTTGAGGTTAATTGGCGGATAGATGAAGCAGCTGTGCGGGCCGTAGGATGCTTGCTTGGTAGCACATGTCTTCCGAGTCACTTCCTTCAGAAGCTAGGCAAGAATCCTTCCTGGCATTCGGAAAACGAAGAGTGCAACAGGCTAGCAAGTGTGCAGGTGTGCGTCATATGAGAGGCCCCGCCTTACATTTTCCTCCACAGATTTGGGGAAATTGGTCCGTGCGCAAAGCATTGTGGGGATTTGAAGGACGCGAAGTCTACCAGTGGCTGTTTCTCAATCGCGAGGAAACTGGCTTCCAAGCCAATATTTCAAGGATACTACGTCATCGAGTGCCGCCGAAGGACTGTTCCAATCTCCAGCATACTTGGAATTCCACCGAGGCCACGTTCTTGGTCTGGGGGTAATTTCGAGGCTGCACATGGGTAGACTTCGCATCCTTCAAATCCCCACAATGCTTTGCGCACGGACCAATTTCCCCAAATCTGTGGC